TATACCTCATTTTGGTATCACCTTATGTATTCTTTTATTTTGTATGAAGTTTCATGGTTAAAGTTCAAAAACAAAACAAAAAAGAGTATCTTGTGCATGTGTGTGGGCCCAGAGAGAGAGAGATTATATTTTGTACAGGTGTGCGTGCCCAGAGAGAGAGAGTATTTAGTGCATGTCTATACAAATTGTTAAAAGAAAAACTAAACAAAGCGGCGATTTATTTTTAATATAAAGAGATCATAATCATTATTGTCTATTAAATTTTAAATTAAACAGTTGTGAGTTTGTCATTGATTAAATTAAAAAATTTTAAAAATAAAAATAAAACTAAATCCTCAAACTTTATGACACACCACCAACCATTCAATTTGACATAACTAACAGTAATTGGACCTCCTCGTAACAACAATAAATGATCTCACAGTACAATCCCACTATATTGGTTTAGGTAATGCTGCACGAAATTCGTCCCCTTTTTTACGCTCTTTTCCTTAGAGTGGACATACAATGCTCCTCTAATAAGTGTGCTCTGCTAAAAGATATGCTTCAACTAGGGCATGTTATCCACACTCTATTACGAGTAAATTTAAGGATCCCATAATTCGGAGCTTCCATCAAGCAAGAAACTTGAATAAAAAAGCGATAAAAAAGTGATTGAAAATTTTGTTTTTGTCCAAAAAAAAAAAAGCAATAAAAAAAATACACGCGCACTGCTCGAAAAGACTTCATATCTCTTAGAATGGAATAAAGATGGCCCAGGTTTTGGATGGTTAAACCTATGGGCTTAATTGGTTAGTGCTTGACAATTGGCAGCTCTATGCATTAGACTCTCCCCACTGATTCTCCCAAAAAAAAAATAAAAAATAAAAAATTCCATACACCTCTTAGAAAAGGAAAAAGTTTAGAACTACGGATGCGCCTTAAAAATCGATCGGAAAAAGTAGTTTTAATATTTAAAAACCTTTTGATTGATCATCTCGACATCGAGATGTACGACCCTGAAAATAAAAAGATTTTAAGTCTAAAAAATAGTGTATTTTACAACATATTATCTACACCGTCTATTTTCAAGATTTTCATATGTTTATAAATCTACTTGATTTTGACCATTTTTAAAATTTAAAATTTTATAATTAGATATAAAAATAAATTTTGAGATAATCTTAAGAGCATTTTCATCAAAATTATATACGATGATAAAATTTGAAGGTGCACCTTACCTCTACAGCTACGGATGCATTCGTATGCCAACTGGACCCCTTAGAAAAATACTCCTCGTAATTTCACAAGTGAATTCCGAATTTTCAGGCTACTAAACCTTTTCTCTCTCTTGATAGAGAGTATACAATATGCTCTAATAGGCGTACACTATAATAGTTCAAGAGCCTTATGCTTAGGTTTATATAAGCTGACCACCTTATATTGTACCAATAAGGCGCATCTCTAAATTTTGCCACAAGATATAGTTCCAATATTCTAAACCTTGCGATAGCTTAAAAATCTTTGTTTAACTATAATAATGAAATTTAAAATTCTAAAAATGGTACAGATCGAGTAGATCCATAAACACTTGAAAATCTTGAAAATATACAGTCTAGATAACT